AAAAAATCGATTTTCTGGAGCTGTATATCACGAACCAACGAAATTCAGAAATAGATCTCGTGCTAGGAGTGTGCTTTGGTGTGTGGTTTAAAAGAAATGGAATGAGTTATAGCACAAATTGACAGTTGGTTATTAGGGTGCCTTTCTAAAAAGCTATAAAAACCGGTGGATTGCTCGCACCAGTAAAAGGCCATATTAACCTTTAAAGGTAATATGAGTTAATTATAACTTTACCGGGTAGATATCAATCGAGCAAAAAAAAAAAAAAAAAAAAAAAAAGATTCGATTCGATTCGATCTCGGTGTCCTGATAGAAAACTTCTAGATATTAGAAAACATCTCCTTTTCACAATGTTTACAGATAACAATAACTAGCTAGCTAGCTAGCTAACTAACTAACTAACTAACTAAATATATAAATAAAAAGCTGACGTACAGAGGTGCTGCTATCCAAGTAGACTCGCCTTTGCCTTAATTATTCAGAGGATATTCAGAGGATAAAACGGCACAGCATAAAGCTGGCAGTTCCAGGACTTGGCTCAAGGAAGGTAGGGATATGCAATTTCATGAGGTTTAATATAAAAGCATGAACGAATGATATTTTACCATAACGTGCAGAACAAAGTGGTAGCTTGGTTTTGTTTTATTTTGATTTTTGCCCTGTTTTTAAGGAGGGTGGGGGTAAAAAAGGGTACCTCGGAAGCTTAGTGAAAGACCATGACACCTGCCCTTCCTGGTTCCGTTTCTGACTATCTTATGTTTCCTCAATTTAAGCGTGTTTATGCACTACTTTTCTCGGAAGCGGGTTTTATCTGTTATTGTCATCACAATTCAAATATCGCTACCTTTACCACTCCTAACTCTGTAACAGGGAAATAAAGAAGATCACGTGACGATGCAGCCGACCCGGATCTTAGCCTGCCATGCAAATAAGCCACGGGGCGCTATATATAAATAGAACGAAGAGAGACAAGGCTTTATACACGTCATCAGCACAAAAAGCAGAATAACGTTGTCTACGTACGGATATAGAGGGAAACTCAAGATGACAGCAACTGTAACTCTTGGTTTAGTTTTGCTGATTATTTGCTCGGCGCAGGGAAAGGTAAGTCTCTCTCTCTCTCGCGCGCTTATATTTAGTGTTGAGATATGTGTCACGATTTTGATGAAATTACCGCATAAAGGAGCAATTGGGCAAATAAAAAGGCCTTTACTTTGTTTTCAGTTCATGTCATAGACAAAAGAAAAAATAAATAATAAAATAAAATATTTTAATAAAACAAGAAAATAGGCGGTTTATCTTAATCTCATGGGAGGTTGCAGTAGCACAATGCATTTATGTCCTTCTTAAACGAAAAGTAATAACAGTATCAGATGTAAGGTGACTGTCTCAGGTTACGTCGTGTTAAGGCCGGCCAAAAAGAAAAAAAGAATGATATATTTTAATGCTTATTCTATAAAAAATACTATTATTAAATATGATTTATAGCTTTTAGTTTTTATAATATCTTATGATGACAATTAATCACTTTAGCACAGGATAATACGATAATAGAGGTAATTAAAGATACAACAAATAACGTTTAAGTAATTCCTTTTGCCCCACTTCTATATAGATAGCTGGTATATATTAATATATATTGAATATATTCTTACTATTATATATTGAACGCAGAAAGAAATTATAAGCGTATGTTCCAATGACAGGTGGTACAGTGATATTATTTGAGACACATATGCTACACATTCCGTTCCGTCGGCACGTGCACAAAGTCACCATTTCAAGTGAGCCATTTTCAACGATTCTGGTGCAGCGATAGAAACATACAAAACGCTCTAATGGCATGTCTCGCAGCCTAACAGTAACATTAACAACCACTCTTATCCATCCTAAATTTCAATGTCTACACTTGTCATCTTGGCAACCTTGATTATAAATAGGCACACGATGCACAACAGAGCTTTTTATACATAATATGATTCTTTTTGAAGTTACAATAATATAGACAACCACCATAATCCATCCTTTATTTTAATGCTTAGACTTGCCAGTTTGTCAACTATGATTATAAATAGACACACGATGCGCGACAGACCTTTTATACATAATATGATTCTCTTTGAAGCTGGATTTTAAAGATGGTATCTTAACTGTATTTTTTAACTGTGACTGCCCGCGTGGTCGTATGTCCCAAAGCTAAAAAATTTAAAAATGCTAAGCCAGTGTGCTGTGATAGAAACTCGGAAAAAAAACTAGTATGTCCCAAAGCGTGACAGCTATATTAACAACCACTATAATCCATTCTAAATTTCAATGCCTAGACTTGTCATGTTGTCAAATAGTTTAAATATAGACACACGATGCGCAACAGATTTTTTTTATACATACTATGATTCTTTTTAAAACCAAATTTCAAAGGTGGTATATTTACTTTTTTTCTTTAACTATGACTGTACGATGGGTCATTTGTCGCAGAAAAAAATACAAAGCTAGTGTGCAGTGATAGAAGCTCAGAAAAAGCTGACCGCGACCTCAGCGTGACAGTTATATAAACAACCATCCTTTATTTCAATGCTTAAACTTGCCAGTTTGTCAACTCTGATTGTAAATAGACACAACGTGCAACAGATCCTTCTAAACATAATATGATTATTTTTAATGTGGCCTAGTTGATTATAAAGGTGGTATTATAAATGACACATCTGCCAATATTGTCATTCCTTTTTTTGTTTTAAAATTGTGACTGTGATGACTGTGATCTGGTTTGGCGGGTTGAGAGGGTGATGAAAAAATGAGTATGCAAGAAACAAAAAAGTAAATTGGTTAACTAGCAACAAACTTGCTGGTCATTAAACAGAGTGAAAAATAATCTGTAAATTACAGCAAATGCTCCTCAATATCACAGAAGTATATGCTATCCAAAATAAAACCGGTAAGGAAATTTCAAGCCATAAACCAGTTTCCGTGTTTCTGATTTTTATCTTCACAAGTGGAATTCACCAGTCTCTATATCCATTATTACTGGAGTGACATATATAAACACAAATTGAAGTAAACATAAATAGCTTGATGATCAAGGGAGAAGTGTTGAAATCTCCAAGAATATTATACGAAGCAATCAAAGCCAAAATTGAAGAACGATAAAAAACAACCAGCCATCCACAAGTAAATGAATCTTATCAGTATACCATAACAATGTATTTTCTAGGAAAATTAATTGTGTGCTACATAAATTTCTAACACACATTATGTCTTTAAAACCGAACGTCGATAAAAACATCGAGCTCGAAACACGTCTACTGATTTTATCGATGAATGCGCTCCTATTGCCAATTATTATCGTTATAGCACACACTTATGTTGGTCTTGTTTCTCTTTACAGGTACTGCCTGCTGGTTGTGTAAGTATTAAAAAGTGCTTGTTTCGAACGTTTTTTTGTTTGTGTGATTTTTTTGCGTCCATGAGCTATTCGTATCGCTTGGCTGTGCAGTAATTATGGTACACGTGGCCTTTGTTGGATATGGTTGGTTTGATTTGTGAGTCAACTTGACATCGAAAATGAATTGTGAAAGGTTCAGTGATTTATGTGATCTAGTGGCAGCATTATCTCTCAGTGCAGTAGCTGTCGACATCTTGGTCGCTTTTGTTTGTTCGCACACTGTTGTCCAAAAAAGTCGGCTATACCTGAAGACTGTCTAAATGTTGGCATTTTTCGTCAGTGTTGGAATAATGACCTTATATATTGATGGTATCGTTTATGAGACTTCATTAATTTTTCCTCTGGCATAAACTAGGACAAATCTGATAACCTTCCATTGTGGTAGTGTACCAAACTATTCTTGAGACTACGCCATTGACGTCAAACCCAGATTGAAAAAACAAATTGTCGCGGAGACCGGTGTGACAAGAAAGTTTGTTCTAGGAATGAAAGTCTGGGGTCCCATATGATTTGTACAGTTTAGGGTTACATGTAGTCGTAGTATTAGGGCTATATATGTGACGATTGTCACCTGCACACGTAATGGGAAACGTGTTACGATTATAGGAAATTAAATAAATGAAATAAAAAAAACAACTTATATTGATTATGCTTACATTAGTAGTCATAAGCTGTATTTCCGTACCCAGGCTGCTGTAACCTGCTTTGCTGGCCAGAAATGTGTCACCTTTCCTTCTCCAAAATGTGTTACAACTTGTCAGGTGAGAAGATTAATTTGCGTTTTCCTTAATTATAAATGCATATCTTTAGCTTAGAGACAAAAAATAAATAAATAAATAAATAAATAAATAAATAAATAAATAAATAAATAAATAAAAAAGCCAGAATATATACTTTTTAAAACATTCTTCTTTTCAAATAATCATTCTTCAATTATCAGGTCAGATGCTTTGTCCATTTGTATAAAATGTGTATTGTGTAAATGATGTAGAAATTATTTCAATCTGCAGGTTGTTAAGTGCTCTTCGGGTAATAAATGCGTAGAGACATTCCGTGGTGCACACTGCGTTGCAGTTGAGAAGCTTGACTGTTCGGTAGGTGACGTTACTTATACGAAATAAACTGATGGTCAAAATGTTTGCTAAATGTTCGTTTCTGTTTATGAAAACCTCAATGGCGTTCAATAATTTTACTCTTAGACGATGGACTGCCCTACAGGAGAAACGTGCGTTCAGGACAAAGTCATGTGTATAAAGGCGCCATGTCCACAGCCCGAACCCCGCTGTGTTCGTAAGTACTTTCTATCCGTTTTCTCAATAAAGCACCAATTCCGACATTTCTTTATATTAAATTCGAAAAAGCTATCAGACAATTGGAAAATTGTTCCTGCTTCATGGGGCGACACAGTTTAGTTATTTTACAGAAGTACTGGTCATACTGCTTTTATTTTCATTGTACACGTAGACTTTATCACCAGCCCAATTAAAGTTCTTAGTGCGTGGTATTATGGTGATATATTCCTTAACAAATATATAATGTAGAAAAGCATATTACAGAACGCCATTGTCTCATTAGGTAGAGTTTTTATGTGCAAATATGCCAGAGATTAGCCAAATCAGGTGGAACAAGTATAAGAGATACTCTGCCTTACGGGAATCAATTTGCGAAGCCCCAGTATAGATGTCATTCCAGACATCAGTTTTCGTAATTAAAGAAATGTGTGACTGACAAGTTAGACTACATCCAAGCATTTTGTATCAACTAAAGAATACCCTTTTAAAATTTTTAGCAATCTGCGAGCTTCCAGCAGTCCCCGGGCTGTGCAAAGCCTATATGCCAAGTTACTTCTTCAACAGCAAGACCGGCCAGTGTGAGACGTTTATCTACGGGGGATGTGGAGGGAATGCCAATAGGTTTAAAACTTTGGAAGACTGTCAGAATGCATGTCTCATGTAAGGAAAGATTGTCACTGCAGACCGAATATAAACTCTGAACTGCGAACATATATTTCACCGAAAAACAATACTCTTGCTGTCTTAATGAACACTGAACTGTACATATGTGACATGCTAAAATAGCGATATTGTTATGCAGAAATAAATACTATCAAAAGTTTTACGCCTATCTAATCGAAAAATTGCGATGACATAGTTCCAAGATTGTTCAGCTTTATACTTCAGATATATCTGATTGTTACCCGTAATGCATTACGAAGTCTGTATAGGGGTTTATTTTATATGATTATTGTTTTTAGATACAGGCTTGACATTTAATATGGATTATTTTTTTCCCAAATCATTTGTTTTTTCCTATTTTGCTGACTGATAAATGAAAATAAGGATTAAAATCGTGTTTTAATAATTTTTAATTGTCTCTTTGATGTCATTGTGACATCATTTCATTATTATTATTTTTTTATTATTATCGATTATTGTTTTTAAATATATGTATGAACATTAAAGAAAAGCTATTGAAATAAGCCTTTTATTGATATGCAACATGTTGGTATATATTGGTCCTTTGATGCCACCCACCTTTACATCTTTAAAAAGGCAAGAAAATAACACATGATAATTTGCTTTTTGGAAGGTTATATGCCAATAAGATAATGGCTTAATTGGTTAAAATAAGCATGTTGAAATAAAACACATTTCATGAAGAAGTAAAGCAAAACTTTGTTCGAACATGATGCATCCAATATGCCTAACAAAATATTCAGGTAGCTGCAAATTGGATATCTAACACTCGTGCATTAAAATGTTGTGAGAGAGTCTGATAAAGTATTGATTAGCCTTGTATTTACTGGAAAATCATAAAGTTTAAAGAAAAAAAAACTTAATTTTCGGGTAAAATAAATGTGACAAAATATCGCAGCCACCGGACAATTACAAAAACTGAAAAAACAAACCTTCAAACATGTGGAATGCCCTAGCTTATTTGACCAATTAAAACAAAGTGACAAGATTCTGCTGTACGTAATACCTATTCCACTGGTTTAACTTATAGATTAACAGGAATACAAGAAAACATACTTTATTTATTTTGAAAGGTGAAGCTAACCCTATTAAATAAAAGGCGCCTTAGATATTTGTGTAGCACAATTAATAATAATAATAATAATCAAGAAAAAGTTCACAATCATCCCTTCATCACATAGGTATACCATATTCAGGGCCGTAGCCTGAGCAAAATGCCAGGGGGGACAGTAAGCGGACACGAGGGGGCAAAACCCCCGAGGGGGAAGGTTGTGGGGGGGGGGGGTGTCCCCCTCCGATGGTGTGGAAAAATTTTAAAAACTGTATGTATAATACTGCATTCTTGTGCATTTTAACTGTTATTTTTTGCTCAATCAGTAGTCAAAAATTATTGCAATTATTTTTTTTACCTTTGCCATTTTTTTTTTTCCCCCCAAACCCCGGGGGGGGGGCCGCCCCCCTGCCCCCCCCCCCCCCCNCACCAAAGGTTATATAAGTGTATAATATGGTCTAAAGAGCCTTGTTAGACTTCATTCGGACAGCACACAGCCCAAGCATCAGCAGGGTGAATGTCGCAGTAATAACCATCCGGGCAGTCCTGTCTGTTCAGGCACCTGCCACAGCAAATCAGACCACCATTATTGGCTAGCAGAGGATCGTCGTACCTACCATCACTTCTTAGACAAGGCTTCTCTGGTTCGACTTAACAGAAATACACAATTATGTTATTTGTCGAANTTTAAAATAACAATACTGAAACAATTTCAATCTTCTAAAAACAAAAAGGAATATTAAATAAATATACATTGTATACATTGCAAACTTTCAAAGTTATTTGCCATTTACAGTTCCATGATTTAATGGAAAAAGTGGCAATTAAAAACTTTTTGATGTTAATCAGTGACAGGAAACAACACAGACTATGTATCATCATAATTTTATGAACAATTTAAATGCAGTAGAAGTACAGTAGTAAAAAAGTAATAATTATTTTTGGTTCTTATATATTTCCGCAATCAACCAATAATACGACATCCTTGCATTAAAAACAAAAGAAAATAATAATACTAATAATAAAATGAAAAATAAAATTAAAAAAAAAACTTTTAGGCATATGACATTGGAACTATAATCATAATTTTCATGAAACATTGTATGATAATTTTGGTCTTTTGATACTTACCCTACACACATGTTAGTCCTACCGAAGTAATGGGTCCCTGGACAAGGATAGTAAGTGGGAGCTTTTACAGAGCAATAACATGGTCTGTTACTACAGGCTCGCCTCTCCGTCTGACTGTGTTGTCCACTGGAAAGATTATATGATGAAAAGTTAACCAAACAATCACATTAGTGTTTTCACTGCTTATATTATTTCATCTGATACAATGTCAGCTTTATTTAAAAAAAGAAATATAATTCAATCGACTTAAATGAAATTGAACGATAAACATTTCTTAATGCTATTTAAGAAATATGAGTGTACATGTACATCTACATGTATACTGTCGTATAATTTTGAATTGCATTATACATTCCAAAGCCGTTATACAGACCGTTTTAGGTAGCATTTTTTAAATATTGCACTCAAATGCTACCATAAATTCAGTGATGCAAAACATTCTGCTGTAAATGTATTAACCAGTTTGCTACTTACCCACAACTCCTGTGACCCGGCTGTAGACAAGTGCGCGTGCGCGTAGCCGTCCCGCAGCCACAAGACGGCTTAGAGCAGACCCACTCCGACCACCCACTCCACGGCCACGTGGTTCTTTCGTCCGAAGACTCAAAACTCCCGCCAAGTTTCGGTGTTGACTGTCGTAAAGACATTGTTGGCATGGTAACGGCGCCGTAATTCTCGCTTGGACTGTCTTGTATAGCGCGAGCAGGTCTTACAGCTGTAAAAGATAGGCGTAGGGATGAGAGGATAGACAGACAGACTGCTAGCCAGCTACCTTGCTTGACAGCTAGCTATTAGATTGATAGAAAGATTTAGAGAGCTACACTTGAAATTAACTGAGGCACCAAATAGTTGCGCATCCAATTACAACTTCAAATTGAGTTGTTCTCGGCTCAAACCCAGCCATGTTATGCTTAATCATTTTCTCGTATATTACGTGTATAGCCAAATAATTCAAAACACTCGATCTCGTGATACTTTTATATTTATTCATTTACAATTCCGCTTCTTTAAATATTTGTTAGCATTTGTTAAACTTATGTCAAAATACAAATCTTTACTCACCAACACACTTATTATTCTCAAGAGCAAATCCCTGGCAACAGTATGGTCTGTCCACGTGACACGTCATGTTTCGTTGCTTTCGCACATGCCTTGAAAATACAAAACCAACTTTGTAACTAACAGAACGTAATTGTCAAACATTCTTTATCATCGGCCAGCTTTTGGTATTTACCGTAACACATGTACTTGGACGTTTCTGTGCTTGAAGGAAGACGCTGAGGTTTAGACTTTTAAATGGCAAACTTCAATTTTCCGGGACATTTCACATTTTTTCTTTTAATTATCAAGGTGTAGCGAATACAATGACCGTTCACAATATTACCTCAATCCATATTTGAACTCTACAAAATTACTTTTTGTAATGAGACAAGCACATTGAACGTCCCTTTTACAATTACATATAAATTGCTATAATCTTTTAAATATTTTAAATGGAATATTTTTTATAACACGCTCAGACCATTTTGGGTTTTATCCAATCGGACATATTTATTAGACTGAACAAACATCATTATCATCATGTCTATTATTATTATTATTATTATTATTATTATTATTATTATTATTATTATTATTTACCGTAGACCACACGGCTCTCCCACATTGCCGAAGAACGAAGAGCATTTCAAATATTCCTCCTCCTCCCACGATTCTTGGCACTGTTCTGTTTCTTTCCTATAACATGCGTGCTGCTCTTCTCGTATTGGATCTGCGCAACCCCCACATGACTCTGAAAAACAACATGTTTAAGACTAATTATAAGATAATATCTCCAAATAAGTACTTATACCTGGTGTACATATATTTTTATCCCTATCAACACATTCTATTAAATGTGTTAGTTGAGATCCTCGGGTTGCTATTCACCAGTTATCTTTGACGGGGCAAAACTATCGCAATCACCTTAAACTGTGATACATATTTAAATAATTTATCTCCTTTAAACCCAACCAGCGCGACGCTTTTCTCTTTCATTTACTCTATCACTGGCAAAGCTCATTTGTACTCACCAGTTCGGTATCTTGCTGTAAACCCGTATCCACCGCCTTTGAATGTGCGGAATAATATCAACATTTCATTGGTGTATGAGTATACAGGAGTACTGGGCAGGGTCGTCCCGCAGAACCTACACAGAGAAAAGTCCTGTATGGTACGTGGTATTGTAACATATATCATTTCATAATAGACATTCATTTAGTTTTATACAAGTTACGTCATACTTGATGTTAATGTTGATGATGATGATGGTTTTTTAGACACATGTGTAACGTGACAGAGAGTCCCCCATGACAGAGAGTCCGCCTCCCATTCACTTGTACAGGTAAGCTCACCCTAGATTTTGACCTACCTAGGTCAGGCTAACCCTAACCATTGTAACTAAATGGAGGGCGGACTTTCTGTTTCACGGACCCTCAGTTTCGTTACACCGGTCGCATTCAGAATGAGATATCCAGCAAGGATAGGCCCATTCCCAATGACACCATTGTTCCAAGCAGACCAGTCCAACTCTGCGGGGATTTAAGACGAATGCAAACAGATTAAGAGATTATTATAACTCCTCTTGGCGTTAAGTAGAATACAGTAAAACTGGGGATTTTACCCAATACAATCTTAGAATGGACATTGTGGTATTGAGTAAAAACAAGAGTCCACGTACCTTCCCCCGGTCTCGGAGAGGTGAGCCCTGTACCTGACCTCCACGTAGTCTTGACACAGCCACTTCTCCTGGTCCCACGTGATGTCCAGAGTGAGGATCTCCAGGACGATGATCTTACCTCGGGGAACCTGGAGCGGAATTGATGCTTTGATTTATTTATCATTAAAACAGTTATCAAATTGAATGGTATGATTCACTTGTTGTTTTTTAACTTAAGTAGAGAAAGAGACTGTCACCACGTGACACCGGTCACCGGACTTAGTTCAACTGAGGAAGACTTTGTGAGGTGGAAACGTAGTGTTACTCGTTTCAAGTAAGATCCAGTAACAGATCCAATTTTTGCTCTATTTCAGTTATCGTTAATGCAATTGCGTGTCATAGTACGTGCGTTTTTCCCAGCAAATGCTGGGCTGCCGTCTTGAATTAAAAAGGTGTTATGTTCATTTATGACAGAACTCATTGTATATTATATTTGTATTTTCATTCATATAACATTCAAATAAAGGGCAAGCCTGTTTCTTATTACAGTCGTATGCTAATTTCAATCAATTCAAATATAATGCATGCATTATGACTCTGGCAAACTTAAATAAATAAATGAACAAATAAATAAATGATGTAAATTATAATACAGAAATGTACATTGCATACTCATACACTACTTAGACCAGTTTCCATTATCTCAGTATAAAATATATACGATTATCAACGAAATTCGATGAAATCTTACCCTGATGAACCAATTGCACGAGTTTTTCTGATTCGGCGGCAATCCTGCATGTTTGTAGTATGATATGTAGCCTCTTTCCGACGTCAAATCCCCCATACCACAATCTACTAAGAAATGTAAATATATCAGCACGACAGTAATTTATTATTAACGACACACTACATCGTGCCGTACAATATTGACGTCATATAACTTCAGCTGCGTTTTCGGTAAATTGTTTTAAATTAAATCCTTTGCAATAACAGGGCATTTATGTTGTTTAAAGACCTTTCATAATATCTGATGATAAAGTAAGACCATTTTTACCACTAATAAAAATCCCTTAGAGTCTCCTCCAGATTCTGTAACACATTTAACGCCGTTAGACGACTTCCCATTATTTTATTCCCTAAATTCACATATTTTATACATAGCACATTGAAAAAACGACAATGCCACATCCAGTTATCATATTTAGCAGGTCCCTTTGTTGAGTTACACCATTGCGTATAATGGTTTGATTTGATTTTGAATACTATAGGCTTAATTTACTCACCGGCAGCGGACGGTGCAACTGTATTGCATGTTTTTCCACCAAACCCATCAGGGCACCTGCACTGCGTTGGTCTCTTGGGGTCCGTGTACCCGTCTCTATTGCACTTGGCGCCATCTATGGTTCTGTCCGTTACTAGAAAATGACCATTTATCGTTATGTAATATTCACTATTTACTACATGTATTTTGTCACGTCTTACTTCAATGGAAGTGAACTTTTGGACAAAACATACCTAGCATAATTATGTTTAGACATGCACCGTCAGGTTTCTTATTTATAGAAGCAATGTATAGAAAGAATTTACATTAATTCCAAAAATCAAACTAGCATTGGCAAATATGTAGAAATGTGAACCGTTCAAACTGTGATTGGCTATGATAAGAGGTCATGATTCTTGGGTCATGATTTGTTTTGTCTTGTGCATTTGCATCTACATCTACCTACCGTTACAGTAAGCCAGGTTGGCAAGTTTGACGTCATAAAAGGAGAGGTCTTGTCTTTGGCCGATCACTTTCTGTTGAAATGGGTCTATCGTTTTGATCGTAAACTGGCCGTCAGTATTGAAATACTGAAAAGAAAAAGGCACAAATACAATGCTTTTATTCCTCTATTAGAGATTTGCCGTATTAAGTGAAGGAAGTTTTGCTGAGAGTAAAATTGATCTCATTAAAACAAATCCTTCTGTAAAACAAACGTTCGCTTCGTGAGTTAAAATTGTGGAAAGAAATCAAGAAAATCTGAAACGACAAACATCCTGCGAACAGCAATATGATAAATTGACAATGAAATATTAAACAATTTGCATGGGGAATAATGTGTGTGCTAAGTGACTTTCTCAGAACATTAGTTCAGTAAGTTAAATTATAGTTTATTATCTAGCAACCGCAACGTTCCACGGCGAGTTCCGGATGTAGAATGAGACACGGAAACCAACGACCAAGGCAGGGTTTCTTATTGGTTGAAAATGTAACCAATGGTCAAGATTAAAATCGAATTGATTTGAAACTAAAAAAGTAAAAACAAGGCGCCGTTGCTTATAAAGGTAAGCAAAGTTCATTTAATTGCTATAATCAGTTTTAAATTGCATTATGACAAGGAAAGCCCGACAGATAGACAATGGGTAAACACACGATACATCATCCTCTCTCTGAAATGTAAGTCAAACATCCTTGATATGCGACAAACACAAGTCCAACGACATACGTATGGTTTCTAATAACACTCTCGAACCAGGAAATTAAATGTTAATACTTACTTTTCATGTCTAAATATAATTACCTTTGCTACTGAACATTTCCGCAATAAATTCTATAGAAACTACATTCCAGCAAGCTGTTACAATAAATACCCTTTTTATCCTCTTTTAAAACTTCGCCAATATGTACATGTATAGCAAGCTGACGGAATTATCTTATGTTCTTTTTATCAACTGGCCTTAAATAATGTTAATATCAGGTTGTGCTGCCTTATTTTAAGTTTATTTCATTATACAGTACGTGTGTGTGTGTGTGTGTGTGTGTGTGTGTAAATTTTTATATATCGATAAAAACGAGCCTTCATGAAACAAAACAAAGTGACCAATTTTGGAACACAGTTTATCTATTTCGTCTTGACAGTGTTAGAAATGAAAACGACAAAAAGAACGAAAAAAAAAGCCTTTATCTCTGTAGGTTAAACACTAAACACTGATATTAAACCTGGTGTGGTATTTCAATATACACGTCCTCCGGTTGTTAATGACGATGTAGTTTACGAACCAATTGTAGAAGAGCAATCGTGCAACTTAAAACATATATTTCTGTGTGGATGGCTATTTGATATACACGATGTACAACGCCCAAGGTAAAAATGATAGCAATTATTATTATAAAAGATTCCTCCATTTCCTTGTTGACTTTATTAAAAACAAGCTCATCACATATTTTCAATGCTTCAGTTGTGTGGGCCCTTTCATCGTTGGCACATTAATTTGTTACCATGGCTTGTTGAATTCAGCACAATTGCAAGTGTTCAAACATCTTCAATGTTTCAATTTCTCGATCTGTTCATCTTTTAAAAAATGTAATGTTTTTCATTTTATATTTATCAAATATATACCCATATTTTATGTTTGTTTTGTTGTATTTTATGTTTTTTCGTTCCCCTTTTAAAATTGGAAATAAACCTATTCGGTAGTAAGGTAAGTTTTTCCTTATTTTCCTTTTCGGGCAACAAGTACCGAGAGACAAAAAATGCATTTTTCTATGATAAGGGGTAGTTTTACATTTTGAACTTAAAAATTTATTTCCTGTTTCTCGATTATATCAGCGTTCGTGGAAAACCTAAAAATTGGCAGGTCATTTCCTCATAGAAAGACCGCCTTCAACTCGCTTATAGTAGTATATTAAGTGTACCGTCACCTACTACTGACCTTCAGATGGAAGGAAAGTCTGTTTTCGAAAGTAAAAGATAGGTGTTTTTATGCATAACGAGAAATTTTATGCAGGTGCAATATGGTAAATAATTGAAAATTATTGATATACATGTCCTTTGCCATTATGGTATAATAATAGTCATACGCAGTACAATTTAAATAAAAATGGATTTTCAATGTTTAACGAACAAAAAATGAACTCACTTGAGTCACATTAATGCATATCGGACAGCTATCAACCATGTTTACAGATAAAAAAGCAAAGCTTAAGGTTGTATGACAGCTTACCAAACAGATGAACATTAAGACATTCTAGGTTTATCCTGAAATGTTCTGTGTCATTACATGTACATTAAAAAAACTCTCCTTACCTTTCCGCCATAATGCAGCGCGGATCCAGGATCGTACGGTATATTCATGCTTGTTATCACCTGCCAGCTTCGGTCTTTAAAGTTACTTTTCTTCTCGAATTTCACGTGATCTAAATATACCCGGATGAACTTTGACCTGTCCATACGACTTTGCTCGTGCCAGAAGCCAAGCACGTGACCAATCTCATGAGCTATCGTCCCTATCTGAAATTGAATTATAACGCATGCAATATCATTTAGAAAGTGTATTATTGTACAAAGTCATATAAGTATTAAGAAACGTATCCATAAGAGGACACTGTCTAAAAAAAGCTATTCCTATTTACTTCACAGATTGAACATGTGTACTATAATTGTGTCAAGTTTTATAGGAACTAGGAATGTTTCCATAAGGGGAACCTGTCGTTTAGACTCACCCCGTCACAACCCGTGCCTATGGAAATTGTTTGGTTTAACGCAGTCGTTCTTCCTATGTAGGACCAACAGCTAAAGAAGACAAAAATGTATCAAATAATGGTACAAGTAATTAATAATGATAAAAAAATAATGATGAATATCATAAGTAATAATAATAATAATAATAATAATAATAATAATAATAATAATGCCCCATTAGCAGTGAACAGATGGAGAAGGGAAGTGACAAAACAAGATGTTCATGTTGATCGTATGCAACGTTCAAACCCTAAATGCCAGATAGGTCATTCGGCATCTGCTGACTTTCCAACACATTGAATTGTATATAAGTGAAGTTTGAAGCTTTTATCATCCTGTTTTGTATCACTGTTTACTACCTATCATTCGCGAAAAAACCAATAGAAAAATGTGTCACCTCGATATTTTACATTACATTTTATATTGGGCCAATATGCTTGCACTTACCCATCCAATTTTTTAAATACCACAATCTTTCGACCGTCGTAACGCTGTTTTTCTTGAAATCGTACACAAGTCAAACTCTCCCAATGTCTTGCTGCAGCTCTTATTTCCTCCTGTTCCGGACCATCTATACATTA